ACTTTGAATGGAGGACTCACTAGACCTTGCTTGCACTTAGCAAATATCCCACCTCTGTATTTAGCAAATGGGTCTCTAAGCTTAAACAACGTATCATACCCTCATGATGCCCCACTTCCCTTAACAGGTTGGAGCCTCCTAGTAGACACTACCATGTGACTCTCACTCTCCTAACACTATTTGTCTAGCCTTGGACAAGAAGCTTTTCCTCTCTGTTCCTTAGGTTCCTCATTTGTAAATGGGGATCATAATTTTACCCTCCTCTTGAGATCATTGTGAAGAGTAATGAGTTAATATATGTAAAGCATTTAGAATAGTGACTAGTGTCTGGTGGGCACCACTTAAGTGACAGCTATCCTGATCACCATACTCATGATCACTTAGCTGGGGGGCCCATTTTTCTCACCTACTGATAAGCACATGTACTTGTCATAGCTTCCCATTGAACCCAGACATCTGTGCTTGCTACATAGCAGATATTCCACAAATAGTCATTGCACAAAGAATCATGCAGATGGTATTTCCCTAGGTTATAGTCTCCCCAAGTCCAATATTGTTCTTAATTTATATCCTTAGAGCTCAGAACCCCATGCTGATAAACATCACTACCTTATTCCAGCACCTCTGCCATAGGTTTCTTACTTCAATCCAAACAGTATTTGGTGAGCACTCATAATGTGTCAGAGGTTGTTCTAGGTGCTGGGGACATACAGTGAACAAAATAATTCCTACCCTCAGGGAGATAATTATAAAGCATCTACCAGGTAATGGTGGAGTGCTGGTTCATTCATGTATTTCCTACCTGAGGGAGACTGTACTAAGATAAAAACTGAAAGTTCAACATCAGGTATGCTCAAGCAATGAAATGCTGAAGAGGCACATTAGAGGAGGCATACACTGTGGATTGCAGTAAGAATTAGAATACAGAAAAAAAGGCCTCAGCAGTGCCTGCCAGAGTGTAAGTGATTTCAGGAGCTGAAGGGACATGGCTGTAGTATCACAGAATGAGCACAAGCATTATGACTTCCTCATGGAAACTAGTATTTTCTGAAATATTTTCAAAATTCCAGGAACAATGTATTTAGATATTATATGTGATTCAAAGCTAAAGAAACCCAGGAGGATGCATGAGAGGGCATTCTAACAAGAACCAAGAAGGGAAAGGACTGTGGTGAGGTCATGGGACCAGGAAGATCAGGCCACTCTGCAGAGGTCTATCTAGCTTCATGTGGCTGACTTAGAAGTATAGGGGGATAGAACTCCAGTTAAGACTGGAAAGGAGGCCGAGGTGGACCCTGGAGGGCTGTGGTGGGCTCAGATCCTCTGTGGGCAATGGAGTCCCTAGGAGGATTAGGGTAAGCATGGGGGTGAAATGGAGAGCTCTGTAGTGGAAAAGATCATTTAGTTCCAGGGTAGACATGTGTGATATAATGAATGTATGTGCGTCTTTGTCCCTGTTGCTGGCACAAAGCTCCAACACCCCTTATTTCCTAATAAGAGCATNGAGCACAAGCATTATGACTTCCTCATGGAAACTAGTATTTTCTGAAATATTTTCAAAATTCCAGGAACAATGTATTTAGATATTATATGTGATTCAAAGCTAAAGAAACCCAGGAGGATGCATGAGAGGGCATTCTAACAAGAACCAAGAAGGGAAAGGACTGTGGTGAGGTCATGGGACCAGGAAGATCAGGCCACTCTGCAGAGGTCTATCTAGCTTCATGTGGCTGACTTAGAAGTATAGGGGGATAGAACTCCAGTTAAGACTGGAAAGGAGGCCGAGGTGGACCCTGGAGGGCTGTGGTGGGCTCAGATCCTCTGTGGGCAATGGAGTCCCTAGGAGGATTAGGGTAAGCATGGGGGTGAAATGGAGAGCTCTGTAGTGGAAAAGATCATTTAGTTCCAGGGTAGACATGTGTGATATAATGAATGTATGTGCGTCTTTGTCCCTGTTGCTGGCACAAAGCTCCAACACCCCTTATTTCCTAATAAGAGCATCTTTTGTTATTCATAATGACCCTTCTACATTACACCTAAGCTTATGCTTTCATAAGACGCCTGGTAAACTCTCAGAAGAGTTCAAGGGAGAAGCTGGCCAAACAGGAAAGACCAAGGAAGTAATTAGAGGGAATTTTCAGCCCCACCTTCTGACCTCCAGGGAGGGGAGGCAGCCTGGAGACTGAGTCCAATCATTTGGCCATTGATTGAATCAATCAAGCCTATGTAATGAAATATCAGTAAGAACTCTGGACTATGGTGCTCAGGGTGATTCCTGGTTGGGAACCATTATCAATATACCTATAAAGTGGTACACCCCCAACTTCACACTGATAAAAGCTGTATTCCTATTCTGCCCTATTCTTGTCTTCCATTGGCTGTTCCTGAGTTGTATGCTTTATAATAAAAATTTAAGTATAGTACTTTTACAGAGTTCTGTGAGTCATTGAAGCAAACTACTGAACCTGAGGAGGTTGTGGGAAGCCCCACTTCCCACAAAAGTGAGACTTTGTAGCCACATAGAACAGAAGTATGAGTGACCTGGGACACCCAGGACTCACAACTGGTGTCTAAAGTGGGATAATTTTGTGGGACTGAGTTCCTTAACCCATGAGGTCTGCATTAACTCTTGGCAGTTAAGGCCAGAATTGAACTGAACTGGAGGACACCCAGTTGTGGTCACAGAATTGATGTTGGAATGGAACATGGAAATGTTATCAGCCAGATGAGAGAATGGAGGTCTAGGAAAGCAGGGAAAAGGCAGAATCCCCTTTTGTACTGACTCCAGAATTCCTTGCAGGGGTCAGTTGTGATTGTGGTTGTCCAGAACACTGTTTAAAGGTTGCTAGTGTAGGTGGTTATGAAGACCAGGGGCTCCCTGAAGAGCTGGGGAAGTGCTGGGACTAAGGCACAGTAATGTTAGAGGTTCTGCAGAAGAAATAAAACAGTGGTTTTCAGAGCTAGCAACAGGCAGAGCTGGACCTTGGTGAGGAGATGCAGACCCACAGCAGGGGAAACTCACACCTCAGCCTGGCATGGGGAAGGGCTGGGGCAGGAACTGAAGGAGAAAAGTTCCCTGGGGAGGATTTCCCCACAGATTTGATGGGGCTCCAGAGAAGGTGTGACTGATACTCCTGGGCTGAGAACATCCGCTGCTTCTGTCAGCAAGAGTCTACCACACACCACAGTCTCCTGAAGAAACTGCAGAATTCAAGGAGCTGTTCTGTGTTTGGCGTGTACGGACCCAGGAAGATGAGAAATGTGTGCAACATTCAAAGCAGTAAGATGGCAGCAATAAAATTAAGTTGCCTTATTACATCCAGGGACTTTACATATTTACCTCTAATCCTCAAAACTACTCTGCAAGATGGGACCATGATATATACACATGAGAAAACTATGATTCAAAAGAGACTTGAAGTCACCTATGTCTAAGATAATTAAACAAATGTAAACAGAAACTTTTGTAGTCATTCTCAAGTTGGTTAGAATATTCTATTAAGCACACAAACACACACATATCCCTCCATTTCTCCCACTCTCCCCATCCCCCACATTAGGAAAATAAAAGTCTCCAAACCCATATTCAAATCAAAGGTAGATTTATTGGCTGTCTCTGTTACACGATGAGGTGACATCATCTCAATCTAGGACATTCTAAACCTTGCCTGACGTGGCGCTGCCTGGAAAGGCCAGAGACAGGCACACCGGCTGCCAATCAGTGGGTAACAGAAGCAAACTGCTGCTGCTCACATTTCTATGATTCATTCCACAGGTTCAGGGAACTTCTGTTTTCCTTCATAGCATCTTCCTCTTTTCAAACTCCTTCAGAAACAGAAGAGAGATGGGATAAAAAGACAAAAGATCCAAATTACATTCATGGTCAAAGTGATTCTGAAACCTCTTATCTTTAGGATCCTTTGAACAACCAAAAATTAGAAAAGTAAAATTGGGATGCCAATGTGTGAACACAATGTAACAGCTTTCAAATCGGCCTGTGTCAGCTTCAATCTCACTAAGCTAGATGCAGAGCTTCAACCCTGTGTTTCCTAAATGCACGCAGAGGCTGAGAGGCTTTGAATTACACGTTTTTTCTCACTGCAGTGGGATTATTAAGAGTTGACAAACCTGATCACACTCCTCCAAACCGTTAATGCTGCAGCTGAACCACAGTGGCCCTTTAAATAAGGCAATGGGAACAGGTTTACTACGGTCTCAGAGTAGGACAGGAAACACAGATCCAGTTCAGATTTGACCAAAATGTCAAGAACTCCAGAAATATCTTAAAAAGAAACTACCAAAAATCACATTTCTCTAGACTATAATAATTTGAATACAACGAAATGTGTAGATGCCTGCTGCCACTTGCTGGAGTAAAATGGTAACACATCTCCAACGTGCATCTAAGCATTTTTCCCCCTTTTAGATAAAATTAGTTTTTACACACTCACTAACCACCCAGATTTCTTTGAAACACTATGGCATACAGTGTCTTATTTCAAGAGACAAGATTATGTAAAGAATCAATAAAACAAGGAGTCTATTTTATTATCCCTGAGACAAGGGCAAACAAGACCAAGCCAAAGCCCTGTTCCGTCCTGGGAATACAATCGATGTCTGTTTCCAACATGTTGAAAAGTTGTTTTTTGTTTGTTAGTTTTTGTCAAGGCTATAACCATCAAAAACAGAGAGTGCAAACCTTAAATTAACACTCAAAGAAACAGGCTAAAAATCATTGCAAAGAGACTCAGGAAGATACCAAATAATTCAGAGTATTTTAAACCACAATGTCCTACTAAAAAGGGAAAACCAAAGCAAATGGTTAAGAAGTCAATCCTCCAACCTGTAGACAATAATGGCATCACACAGCCAGGGCCAGAAACTAAAGGCTGTAGATCTCCCTCCACCCTCCAGCCCTCTTCATCCAGTTTTCATTTCTTATTATCAGCCTTCAATCCCTCTTCCTGGAAACAGAGACCTATGAGATCCAGGTAACTACATCCCAAAGGCCCTCAATAAAGAGAAAAAAACAGACCCCCAAGGCAATGCTCTGCTCTATCCCCAGAATGGAATTCATGGCACTAGGGACTCCAATATTTATCATACCTTGCCACTCACAAGAGCCAAATCCCATGTTTAAGGAAAAAGCTTTTTATCAGAACATTATTCCTGGTCATGCCCAATTAGGACATTAGGAAGTTAACGGAGTTGCTACAGACTGCGAAGAGACAGGTAAGACCCAGAAGAAAAACCCTTGGTTTCCAAGTACCCACGGGGGCCCCACACCATAAGGCCCATACTTCAGAGTGCTCCGACCATGTGACAGCTCACCTTGTAGATAGTGCTTCCCAGCTGCGCGGGAGACATGCTGACCACCACCCCTGCACTCTGAAGAGCAGAGATCTTCTCTTTAGCGCCGCCTTTTCCTCCAGCAATAATTGCTCCTGCATGACCCATTCTCCTGCCCGGAGGAGCCGTTAAACCAGCTATGAAGGACACCACTGGCTTGGCCTTGGGACCCTGGAAAGTGATATTTTAAACACCCTAATGAAGAAGCTGACCAAAACTGAGCCTCAAATATATGACTTTCTAGTAAATGGCAAAGAGCTTGGGCAGGACCCATCACTCATCCTAAGAAAACAGATGTTAAGCTATGACTGAAAGCATTACACTGCATTCTTCTTCGAGATGACTCAACTTGCTTACAAACTCAGGAAACAATCCTGAGCAAATTTTTTCCCTGTTTAGATATTAAACTTCAATTTCATCAGCACAAGTTGTTATACAAATACATAGGTGACTCTTTCATTTGAAAAACAAAAAGGCACACTTGAAAATAAATAATGTAAGTTATGTGAATTGTGATAATAATAAATTAAGATGCAAGATCAGGTTGTTTTGTTTCAACCTGATCTTATGTCTTAATTATTAGTTCACTTAATAAATCTGCTAAAAGAAAAAGAGGCAGTGGGAAGGTATATTGGAAGGATGTAGAAGTCACCAGACTCGATTCCTACTGACTAAAGCTGCATGACCTTGACAAGGCACATCGCAAGACCTCTGATTCTTCGTCTACGAAATGAAGCAGCTAAACTATTTGACGGCCACGGGCCCTTTCTCCTCCAAAATTCCACGATGTGTAAGAAGGAAGATCAGGATCAGTTTTATTCATTAAAGTTCCAGTCTAAGGTTTAACCTCTATATAGAAATAGTACTGTACTAGATTCTGAGGTTAAAAATAAAAACCCACAACAGAGAAAATATAAGAATTCCTATGCTCTAGACTTACAATGTAGTTGAAGAAGTAATGTAAAATATGTTTGCACATCAATCAATTAAGAGATGTCATAAAACAATACATGAACATATGGTTAAGTTTCACACTGAATGGAAACCCATGTGCACAGTAGGAATCCTGAGGCAATACAGGATCCAGGCAAAGCAGACAGGCCTGCGGAAAGCCAGTACAAGTGGAATCTGAGTGCCTTCATTCAGGCACTATCATCTTCCTCTAGACCAGCAGTTCTCAAATTATTTGGTCTTCAGACCCCTTTTGCTACAAAAATGATTGAGGATCCCAAAGAACTCTGTAGATTTCTGTAGATTATATCTGACATTTGTAGGTTTCTGTAGATTATATCTGACATTTACTGTATTAGAAATTAAAACTGAAAAATTTTATAAATATTTATTAATTCAGTTAAAAATAATAACTTCTAAGAAATTCATTTAAAAATAATAACTTTGAAAAAAACATTCCAGTGGGAAAGTTGGCATTATTTTACATTTTTGCAACTCTTGAATGTTTAATTTAATACAAGGCAAATGGATTCTAATGTCTACTTTTGCATTCAATCTATTACAATGTTATTTTGGCTTAAGTACAAGAAGAAAATCTGGCTGCACACATATATGTAGTTGGAAAAGGGAGCACTTTAACAGCTAGTCAGATAATTATGGATATTGTTCTTTGATACTACATGAACCTCTGCAAGTGGTAATTTCTTAAAGGTTAGGTGCGATGTTGGAATCTGAAGCCGTGGCAATGAACTTTTTATCCTTTGGTACTTTAAAATCCAGTGATCAGTCTGGCACTTTGAATAAATGTTGCACCTACAATGATTTTGCAACATTTATTAGTCAGAGGGAAAATACAGGCTCACTGAGTTATGTATACCTTCCAAAGGCTGACACATTTCATCACTCAAAATCACCAAAATCACATTTGTCAATATCACCACCAATCTCATTACAAAAGTCTTTAGTAGGGGGAAGCCATCAAGTTCACAGTGGCAGAAACAAGTTTTACAAGATGTTAATATTCACTTGAAGGCTCAAATGTTATCATCATCAACAAACACCAGGAACTGTTTTCCTTTATGTGGCAAGTCTGCTTTATTCACTTTTGAGAAAAGGTCTGAACCAGTCTGTCTGCCAGTTGCTCTTGTGAGTAAAACTGGTATCCCATGAAAAAAGCAGCTAGTTCAGCTCACAATTCAATTGGAAAAGTGCTTCACTTCCTAAAATTACTAAAAATTAATAAAATTAGTAATTTTTACTGCTTATCAAGGACATTCTTAAATGAAATTGGCTTTTTTCTTTTTTAAACTGAGAATACATGGCAGTGAATGACTGCTAGGACAGTTTGTTTCCACTGCCCTGATTCATGCTAAGCTGCCGGCATGCCAGGTTCTGCATGGTTGGCCACTGTTTTCTCCAGCCTCAACTCCCACCATTCTTCCTTGCTCTTTATTGCCCAGTAATTCCAGGATGCTCTGTCTCTGTTCCTCTGCTGAGAATGTCCTCTATCCTCCTCAGATACCTTGCAAATTTCTAGTTATTTGAAAGTGCTCCTTCAAGCCTCCTCTTCCCAATAAGCCTTTCTGATTCACACAGTTGACCGTCACCTGTTCAGTGACTCTGCTTTGCTTCTGACTCATTTCTACTACTCTCAGTATAGTGGCTACGACTTATTTCCCATATGTTCCCACTCCTAAACTATGAATTCCCTGAACACAGGAACTACAATCTCACTTACTTCTGTATGCTCAGTACCTAGGGTAGCAGAGAATTAAAAAGACTCCACAGATCATCTGTTCATTCACCCTGGGGTCAACAGAGATATGAGTATCTCATATTTGAGCAGCACTCATTTCCACTTGATACCTCTGTCCCTATACTCAAATAGTGGGAATACTGCACAAGAAACGAACAAGATTATGATGAACCTAAAATGTCAAACAAATTTACAGTCTGTCTTATTAACAAAAAATCACTTGAGATTTTTTAAGCAGAGAAAAATGCAATTTAAAACAATGAGAAGTGTACCCAGAAAACAGGGTACAGAAATTATGAGAAATGCAAAAGCCTTAAAACAGAA